CAGGAATGGGCCGATCCCTTCACGGCAGCTCTGTGGCAGCAAGGGCAGCGCGTTTCGATGCGGCTGAGCAGAAAAGCACAGGCACATACAGGGAAAAAAAGCGTGATTGAATGATGGGAGCTGATCCCCAGAGGACACAACTTCCTAAGGAATGCCAGGCTGAGCTGCTCTGCATAGGACAAAAAGCAAACGTGCAGTTTAGTCTTTGAAGTCAGTCCGTAAGTCCTCTCCCAGCACGGCAACAGCAACCGTAAGTGTACGCAAAGCCAAGAGGGAGCAATGGAAAGGAAGGGAAGTTAACAGAACGGCAGAGGAAAGCCAGCCAAAGCAGCACAGGGCACAACAGAGCTGCCCCAGCATTGCCATGGCTCCTCTGGCATCTCAGCCTAGTTACAAGAAAAAGGGTGCAGAGAAAACACTGAAAATGGGTCTCCAGTGTAAAGGAGAGGCCTGCCTAGGTTTTGAGGGAACCTTAATCCCTTGTGTCACGCATCTCTGCCAGGTCCCCTGAGCCCCCAGGAGGGGAATGTGCCACAAAACACAGGTACTTTGGGGTGTCCATGAAGTCAATGTGCCCTTCCACTCTGTCTCCTCCTTACTGGGCAAGTCCTAAGGCTGGTTTTAAGCCAGGTCTCTTCAAAGCTTCCCTCACCCAGGTGAGCTGGGCCACCACACACATGATCCTTATGGCCACCACAAATATGGTCCTTGTGCTACTGCAACGCCGGGCTGGAGAACTCGGGCAGTGATCCACCGGGCCATGAGCTTCCCCAGACCATGGCATCAGCAATGGCGTGGGAAACCAGAACTCCACTGGCCAGCACCATGGCATCCACCTGAGCCCAGGACAGAAACTGGCAGAAGAGGTGTTGGGTTCCCAGGGGCCTCGCTCACCTCTTTTCAGAGCCAGAACAGCCTTTCCTTTCAGCTTCCTATGGATTTGTTCCTCAGCTTTTAGGGCTGATTAATCAGACGTTTGATTTGGGGTCTATTGGCACAATCAAGGCAGTGTTTCTTGCATTGAATAAAGATGTGGAAACACCAGCAGGCTTTGAAGAAGGTTGAAGGTGCAAGGAACATTTGAAAGCAGCAGCAGGTTTCCTAACATTTCCTTTCCCCTTTGCTTTTTGCTACACAAGCTGTGGGACACTGGTCTGAAATGGAGCAGGGCTGGACCCCCAGAGCATTTCAGATGAGCCTGAGACTGGACCCCATGGCCAGTTGGGAGTCCACACACCCCTGTCCCTCGCCTCAGCCGCATTGCAAAACAAAAAGACTACTTCCACTTCCAAATAAATTAAAAATTACAGCGTTGGACTGCACTGAGTCACAGCTCTTAGACACGTGAGGGAGGTTCAAAGCCACGGGAACGTCTGATCAGCGATAACTCCGCAGGTCTAGGCTACAATTAGCAGTTACAGTCATGGTTGCATTAAAAGTGCCCAAGATGTGCTGCTCACATCTAAGGAGACCACTGCTTGAGGACAACCTGTCACTGGGGAGGGAACCCCAATCCTGCCAGCACATTAACGATCTGAATTCACCTCCGATAGGTATTTCTGACAGCCGAGATGCTGCAGTGCTGATGACCGTGCTCTAAGCAGCTCCCTGTGGAGAGATGTCCCTCCATCCCAGCAGTACTTTCACCAGCAGGCAAAGCTGCACCTTCTTTGCTCAGCTCAGAAGGGACAGCCTCGGGGTGCAGCCTCTCATTGCTCTGATCTCCACACTAGAAAGGGTGGCACTGACACCGTCCAGGCTCCGTGATTTCAAACCTGATCTCTCCAGGCTGTCAGATATTTGGAAGTGCCTCTTCACCCGTTACCAAGGGTGCGTGATCAGGGCTTTGGCTCCTGTTGGATACGTGGAGTCGCAGGAACAGGGTGTGCAGGGCTGCCCCACAACTGTGTTCACACTCAGGGGGTTCACCATGGCTTAGAGGGGATGCACAACACTCACCTCAGCTTCAAACTTCATGATGTACAGCTTTCCATTTTCCCAGGTGCCAAAACTGCTAATAAGGTGGGAAGATCTTCTACCACAAGAAGCCAAGAGCCCCATCCCATGCACACTCTCCAGCTCTCTCCATGGCCCACCTCTCACCATAGGCTTGGATGGGAAACTGCCTCGTGTGCAGCAGCCACCTACAGAAACTCCACTTCAGGGGCTCTGTCTGGGGACCTCAGCCCCAGCTCTGGAAAGCAAAGCTGGGTCAGATCCCTTCTGCCAAAGCAGGGGGTCCTTTTGGTTGCCTGCACGGGCAAGGCAGGGATCCTTCCACAAGAAAGTGGGGCAAGCTGCTGATGAGACAAACTGCACTTTGACACCACACCGTAACCTGGAGACAAAACCTTCGGAGAAAGACAATAAATGCTGCACCTGATTTTAAAAGGAAGGTTGGTCACCATGCTACAGCTATAAAACACCCAGAAGTACACTTCAGAGGTGAAGTATCTCCAGAGACCAGCAGATCTTTGCAATGTGCAAAGGCCCGAAGCTGAAGTTTTCGGCCTAAGCTAAAAATCACCACCAAAAACTACGAGGGTGTTCCTGGGATGGAGATGGAAAGGTGGGGGTGATACGGTGAAGCTTCTCAAAGCCCCAGCAGCACTTTAAGAGGGACAGTTTTCTCTACACAAAGTGCAGCAGGGCTTCTCCAGCCTCTCCCAGTAGGAGCACTGGGAATAGGGACTGCCCAGTTCCCTTGTTCTCCGGGCCCCAGGAAGCCACGTAGCCCCAAGGGGCTGCAGACAAACTCTCCAACACCACGGGCTTTGCAGTAACACCACTTCAGCTGAGGTTTTCACCTTCCACAGCCTGCCAGGCGTCAGTTGAAGTGAACTCTTCAAAACCAAGGTGATCACAAACTACAAGGTTAGTAGGACAGGTTATCACCACAGATGACGGTCACCCATCATCCTTAGCTGAGCAAAACCTCCCACAAAAACTTAACGTTTAAATACTGCTGCCAGGATTAAGCTTAAAACTCAGTTCTCCTTCCAAAAGTGAAGGCAATTCCACTTCCCTTATGTCTCAAACAATTCTGAAGCCTGAGATGAACGGGGCGCAGTCAGAACCTCTGTCTGGGTTGGGCACACGAACGCCTCTCTGCAGCCCCCTCCTCCTATCCCAAACCCGGTGGGGGGCAAAGAAAGGGAGCTGGTGGTGTGGAAAGTGTAAATAAAAGGTATTTGAGAGCTGTTGATAAGACAGAAGAGAGATGTAGGCAATTGGAGGCACTGCAAGGCGAGGAAAGAGATGCTCCAGTGCTGAGAAACCACAAACTACCTGGATACCACAGGACGTGTTTTCCTGGTCTCTGGTGCTGCTCTCGCGGGCTAGTTTTAGTTTCTGCAACCCTCCTCAGACTTTCCACCCGAATCTAAAGGCTCCTGCCCACAGCCTGCTTTTCTGGAGGTACATTCGGGCAGACTCATCAGGAAACCTACACATGAAAAGAGGTTACTGCTTGAAAGGAAAAACCCCGCAGCCCCACCACAAACTGCTTTGTCCAAATGCCACTAAATATTTACAGTAAAGTCTGAAAATGCATTTGGAAACCCAGACGTGTGCTAAGCACTTAGATATTTCATGCACTTCACACAGCTTTAAGCAGGAGCGCAGGCAAAACTCCTTCCGTTTTGTACGTCCCTTTGAGACCCGAGCATTGCTCTGCCTGAACAGAAAGCAAAACCGAAATCAGCTTTATTTTTAATTTTTTTTTTGAAGTTGGAGAGCTAGAGCTTTTCAGCTGCAGAGCGTTTTTTTTTCTCCTCGCTCATGCCCCGATGAGATGAGCAAACCAGAAGTGACGGTACCTCTTGGTTTGTAAGCCGAGGGAGTCTCTCTCTCTGTCTCTCTGGAGCTCTCTCTCTCGGTACGAACGCACACTTCTTCAATTGCCAAACAATGAATTTGCTCTCAGGGACTTTCCACGTCCTGTCGGAAATAGCGCAGCAAGGGACTTTCCGCGGCGGGAGCGCTGCGCTGCAGCGGGACGTTACACACATTGCTGGCTCCACATGCAACCGAACCGCACCGACAGACTGCGCTCTGCGGCACTAAACTAACAGGCCTGCCCCCGAGGCAGGGTTTAACTCGAGCCCGTGGCACCAAGACAGTCTCAAACGCAGTTGTTTGACGCCTCCTTTCATCAGCCCTCAGCCACACGTACCACCTCCGAGGCCCCGGCCGCATGAGGACAGCCAGGCCTGATTAAATGCCCCAGCTCTTTGGTGGCGGCTGGGAGGAGAGATAACACAAACCAGACCTCACCTCCGCCCACCGGCTCCCAGGCAAGAACCGGCTCTTCCCAAGAGGGCACTAAATAACCTCAGACTGAATGCCACCGTGGTAGGCAGGAGGGGCGAGCTCCATCCCAAGACAAACCAGGCAGCGCTGCTCAAAATCCCCGCTCCCCTGGTATTGCACAGCTCAGATCAGTGCTGCAGATGCCTTGCAAGAAGGCAGACTTCACAGAACCACAGCGTGGTTTGGGTGGGAAGGGACCTTAAAGCCCCCCCAGTCCAACCCCCATGGGCAGGGACACCTCCACCAGCCCAGGCTGCTCAAACCCCGTCCAACCTGGCCTTGGGCACTGCCAGGGAGGGGGCACCCACAGCTTCTCTGGGCACCCTGGGCCAGGGCCTCACCACCTCACAGGGAAGAATTTCTGCCTAATATCCAGTTTAAATCTCCCCTCTACCAGCTTAAAGCCATCACCCTTCATCCCATCACTCCATGCCCTTGTAAAAAGTCCCTCCCCAGCTTTCCCATAGCCCCTTCAGGTCCTGGAAGGTGCTCTAAGGTGCCCCCGCAGCCTTCTCTTCTCCAAGCTGAACAACTCCAACTCTCAGCTGTCCCCATAGCAGAGCTGCTCCAGCCCCTCAGCACTGTCATGGTCTTATCCCAGGACACCTCGCTGCCCTTTTTAACTTCTCACGCAGTCCCAGCTGGACTCAAGCCCGCATTCAAACATTTCTAAGGCCACACAGGAAGGACCTGTGGTAGTGGATGTTTTTTGCTGAGCTCAGCAAAAACTCTTTAAGACTTTTTTTTTAAACCCAGGAGAAAAAGCTCAGAAGAGCTCATCAGTCACAGCACAGGCAACAGCATTGGAAGCTGCTGACAAGTATAATTTGTTTGAGTCTAATGGAGATGAGCTCACTCACTATAATCACCACTTTGAATGCTGCAGTGGGCATCAGACTTCCAGTCACTGCTCTCCAGCAGAAAGTAGAGCGTGGGTCCAACAATCTGCAGGCTTGAACCTGGAGCCTCAGCAAAACACACTGTGCCCTGAAATGCAGCTCCCAAGCTCTCAGCAGCATTAAGCTTCCAACTTCAGCCTTACATCCACACCAGGAGCCACTTGCAGATCTGTGCATGAGGGCTGCATGGCAGGAGAACCACTGAGCACCCTACATCCCCTCATCCTATGGGCTGTGCTATTCACATAAGGAAGCAGAAGGTTCTGCAGAGCAGGATGAGGAAGCAGAGGTGCAGCAGGGTCTCTCTGTTAAGGGGCTCACCAAGCTGGGCAGAAAACTCAGGCACAATCTCCAGCTGCTCTTTCTTCCTGCAGTGGCATTGCAAAGAGAATCCAAACATCAGCCTACACAGACCAAGGTTAAACCTCCTCCTGACACATACCTCAGTCACTACCAAAGCTCCATGAACCACAGGGCTACAACCTTTACCCAGGGCAAGTGGTAAATAAAATTCAATCCTCTTACCTCAGGACCCCATCCATTGCAAGAGGGATGACAAAATTGTCTTTCAGGAGCACCAAAGCTTCACAGGTGAACACACATCCACTACTAATTGCCAACACATTTTAATGATGCTGACCTGTTGGAAAGCACGGGGTCCACTGCCATCCTCAGCCAGAACACACTTCTCATGAGGCACATGAGCTGGATCCATGCTGAAGACCAAACGCCCACAGCCACGATTGAGGCCTGAATTAACAAGCAGCTGACGGGCTCCTTGAGAGGAGCAGGGGTGGACAAACCACCCTGTCCAGCAGGCTCATGGCCCAGAACAGCTCGAAGCGATGGGTGGCCAGCCAGTGACCAACGCCTGGTCCCACTGCCCTGGTAGCTGTGGGGGCAGCTGGTTGGAAACAGGACCACGGCCAGGCTGCTTTCCCCAAGCTCATGGGTCTGAAGAAGGTTTCAAGCTCACGTAACGCAGAGAACCTCACAGCAATTGCACCGAATCATAGAATGGTTTTGGTTGGAAAAGACCTTTAAGATCATCGAGTCCAACATTTCATGGCACAGCAGTTTCTTGATAGTTTGCTTGTTTTGTATAGCGGAAAGGAGATGGAGATAGGGTGGGTGGTTCCCACCTCGCTCTATCTCCAACTTGTGGTTCCCACAAGGGATGTGCTTGGTGCCCGTGATCACAAACCAACCTGAAATTGTTTCAGCTCAGCCTGTGCCCTCAGCAGGGCCCACAGACCCAGCTCAGCCAAGAAATCCCTCCAGCACTCAGTGAAGTCCAGCGAGGTGAGAGCTCCCACCACCACTGCCATGAGCAAAACCGGCTGAGCCTTCCCCAGAAGGAGGAAAAAGGACACGGGCATTGAAAGCCTTGATCTTTACCTCGTATTCCTTAATAGTCCCCTTCCACGTGCAGCCGCTGTTAATGCAGACAGCGGGGAGACTTTCCACCTCCCTTCGAGCTGCGTTGTCTGGGAAAGCCTAAAATGGAAAAAAACCCAAGGGAACCATTAAAATTACCGAGGGACTGCAGTTTTAGTCCAGTCTCTGAATACTTTACTGAGACTTTAAGGCTCCTCCCAGGCCAGTTGCCACATCGCATCCTCGCAGATGTGCTAATGGCAAACAAATCATTCTTACAGCATTTAAGTAGGCCACCCCTACACTAACGTGACCTGGATTTTCGAAGCTGGAGAGTCCACCACATTCATCAGACCTCTCACTGCTGAAGAAAACGTTTCCTAGGAATGAGGGGTTCTCAGAACTTGCGTTCTGAACTAAAACTGCAAGTGGTGTTGACATCATCGGGGAGCTGCTTTATTATTTAAAGTGCATTTTTTTAACTTACCGAGCTGATTTCCAAAATGGAAATTCCTTCTTCGTATATCCCTTCCTGAATACAGCTGGCACACTTCTGAGGTCCAGCACTAGCAGACAGGAAAATCATCATCACACACAACAAAAAGAGACCGATTCACCATTATAAAATGATTTCTGGTAACTTTATCAGATTAAAGCATTTTATTATTTTTAAAAGAACCCATTAAGCCTTTGCTCATGTGCATTTTTGATGCTCATTTCTCATCCTAACTCTTTCCTCTTCTCCTCATTAACTGCTCCATTCAACTTCCCTCATTTAAAGGCAAGAGTGAGACACTACAAAACTTTTCCGGAAGCCAGCACGTGCTGAAATGCCTCGCATTTTGGCCTGACAACCTGACTTTTAGGAGCAGTAGCTGTGATGAAGACTGAAGGAGATGGGTGATCCACCTGGATAACATCTGAAAGGCAAAAATAACCCCAGGGATTCTGGAAAAGGGAACTCTGAAGCAAACCCTGGGACAAAAAGAGCAAGTCGGAGCTCACACATTCCCTTGAAGACGACCTGACGCCGATCCTCAACAATTAAACACAGCTCCCTTCTTGACAAGGCCCTAAAACTGAGGCTTCTCTCTCTTTACTTTTTGCTTGAAAATGCCTTTTCAAGCATTTTGTCTTCAGACTGAAGGCACAAAAGTTACCTGATGATTTTCTTCAGACAATAGGAGCAGTAGCGATGCCCGCACTGAGCTTGAAACGGCCTCCTCAGTATATTCTTGCAATCAGAGCAGAGGTATTTGACCTCCAGCTTAGTTCCCAGGATCTCCTTGGCAAATCCCGGCTGGTTTAGATCCAAAGAGCCAGGTGGACTCGAGTTTGCTGCTGCCATGTGAACGAAAAATGCTGGCTGTATCTCCAGAGCCTGAAAAGAGAAATATTTCCCCCGTGTGAGCGCAACTGGATGGTGGCAGTTTTTCACTTAAACCGTATCACTCACAGCATAGTACACTGGCACCCAAAACCCAACCAAACACATCGATGCAAACCACAAGCCTGCCTCCACCTCGCTAAAAAAATACAGAAAGAAACCTTACAGTTTCTTTTAGAATTAAATCCAGAACAAAGAGTCAGCACGGACAGACCAAAATCTCCATCCGAGTTTAGCAAAATGCAGCCTACTCAGAGAAATCAAAGCTTCTGGCCCAAAGTAAGGTGAAATAAAGCCCTAAAGCTGATCAGGAATATAAAACTCTTTAGGCACCAAGAGAGGTAACCACTACCACTGTGTGTTTTCACATCTACCAGACGCCAAGGGACAGTAATTCTGCCCAGAGCCATCCAGTCCCAGGGAGGCTGCACCCACAGTGGAGCCCAGATTTACCAGCAATGCCCTGGCAGAGGCACAGGAGGCTGGAAAACGAAGATGTGAGAGGGACAAGCAAATCGGAAAGGAGGAAAAAAGCAAAAAAGCATTTGCTTTGGCCACTTATGATGACCTAAAGACGCATCTCCCACCTTCATGCCCTGCGTCTACATCCCACAGCCACCCAAAATACACAAGGCAGCGCCTCAGCGTGCTCAAACCCGTGCAGCTGAGGGAGCAGCGATGCTCATGAGGCTCCTCACACGTTTGAAGTTTCGGGTAACACGCAGCTTCTGCCCGGACCAGGGGCTGCTACAGCTGCCAGAGCCACCCCAGAGCACGGACAGCCTCAGGGAAGATCCCACAGCCCAAAGTGCCCCACGGGAGCACCCGCAGCCCGGCACCCTCAGGTGCTGAGGGGCTTCGCACCCCTGGGTGCTGCTCTTGTGAGCACCCGGTCCCAGCGCCGTGATTTCTTGAACACAAATTCAACTTTTCAGTCGCACCGAGGCCGTTCCTCGCCTGCGGCCCCAGGCACTCCGGGGATCCCGAAGCTCCGGCCCGGCTCCCCCCAGGGCTCTGGGAGCCCTCGGTAGCG